TATGATATTTTAAAAAAAACATGTCATATTTCTTATAACTAACTAACTTACTTAACTTACTTAATTTAATCAAATTAGTTAAATAGGTCTTATATTAATGACCGAAGGAGTAATAAAAAGCACTCATGTCTTGTTAAATTTGTGTATCTGCAAAGCAGCTTTATATTGATTTATAATACAAGTGCGGTTTTGCACATTAAGATTTTAAGGAATGATCTTATAAAAATTTGGATGTGTATTTATGGCTTATTTTGTTCTATCCAATTTATTAATATCCTGTTTGTGAACATCATAGGTATTTGTAGAAATGATGCGTATATAGATTTTTCATTTTTAAATTTATTTTTTATGATGATGACGTATTATATGATACTGTATTTACAGGACATCAGTTGAGGACATAAAGTGTCTGAGATTGATAACTGCCATTAAAACTCCTTACCTGCCTGATGGCCGATTTGATCTTGAAGCATATGATGACTTGGTGAATATGCAGATTGAAAATGGTGTTGAAGGTATTATTGTTGGTGGCACAACTGGTGAAGGTCAATTAATGAGCTGGGATGAACATATAATGCTTATTGGGCACACAGTCAACTGTTTTGGTGGAAAAATTAAGGTTATTGGAAACACTGGAAGCAACTCGACCAGGGAAGCAATTCATGCCTCTGAGCAAGGTTTTGCTGTTGGAATGCATGCTGCTCTTCATATAAATCCTTATTATGGTAAAACATCTGTTGCTGGTATGATTTCTCACTTCAGTAGTGTGCTTTCCATGGGGCCCACCATCATATATAATGTGCCTTCGCGAACCGGTCAAGATATCCCTCCACCTGTGATTCAAACCTTGGTGATGCAAAGCTCAAACTTCGCAGGCATCAAGGAGTGTGTAGGAAACGACCGGGTCAAACTTTATACTGGGAAAAATATTGTTGTGTGGAGTGGGAATGATGATGAGTGTCATGACTCTAGATGGGACCTTGGGGCTACTGGAGTTATCTCTGTTGCAAGCAACCTAATTCCTGGCTTAATGCATGAACTCATGTTTGGTGGCAAGAATCCAAATCTGACCGCGAAGGTCTTGCCTTTGATCCGCTGGCTATTCAAGGAACCAAATCCCATTGGTTTGAACACTGCTCTTGCTCAACTTGGAGTTATCAGGCCAGTTTTCAGGCTACCATATGTTCCCCTCCCTGTGGAGGAAAGGCAAGCATTTGTCAGATTGGTGAATCAAATTGGCCGAGAGCATTTTATTGGAGATAAAATGCTTGAGGTTCTTAATGACGACGACTTTATTTTGGTTGGTCGATATTAATTTAGGCTGCCTTAGACTTGCTATCACTAGTGTGAAATCTGGCATCCTACTTGGGGGTTTTCCATAGTTCAAGGCCAGATGATCATGATGTAAAACTTAGATTTGCACATCATATTTTATTAAGAGCATAAATGACGTGACCTTGTGGAGTTTCTATTGAACCTGGTCTTGCATGTTATGTAATTATAATTATGAATTAGAAAAGATTTAAATGGGATAAATAGGATTTAAATGATATTAGTAGGATTTGAATTGAATTTTAATTATATTGGTGGCATCAGCTGCAGATGCATATCCAATTGCAATAATGAGAGATCTACTTAGGAAGTTTCAGAGGTAAGAATCGAAGTGGTGAGAATTTTAGATTAAGAGAGACGGCTTTAGTTCCTTCCACGTTATGCTAATTGTGTATCTGTTTGATAAGGCGATTCAGTTTGCAAAAAGCAGCTTATGAGCGTGATGAGATTGGGAACTGTTTGTAATAATTTTTGGCCAATTAAAATGCAAAAATGTTTTTGAAATTAAATGGTATTTTTATCTTTATGTTTATGTTGTTCTTGTATATCTTTTTATATATTCTATGTGTTTCTTAATCAGTTTTTAGTTATGTATTTTTAATATTCTCGTAAGCGAAATAATTTTTTAACAATTTTTATAATATTTTTAATTTTTAATATTATTTTTAATTTTTTATTTATGTTAATTATGCAAAGTATATTATCCAATTAATTATGTAATATTATTTGATTAAAAAAATTTTATATTACTATCCTTTCTAATTTAGATATATTTATTCATTAAATATAACTTCTTCCTATTATTGTAATTAAAAATTATTATATTTTGCAAATTTATATTTTTAATCATTTTTCATTATTTAATAAACGTCATATCTATTTTGGTTATTCTACAAGTTAAACTTACTTATTCAATAATAATCCAAATAACTTTTTTACTTTACAAAATAATTTTTATAAAAATCAATCCAAATATAAATTACATTATCTAATATAACTTTTAGCTACTAAAAGTCATTCTGGAAAAAAGTTATTTTTTTACTATCAATCCAAAAGGATCTTATTATGAACACCAAATTTTTTCTGGGCCCCACAAGAAATATTAAATGTAAATGAAACAAATAAAAAAGAAATAAAAGAATAATAAAAGATTAATATCTTTTCTGATTCTTTCTCGAAAGCTAAGTTTGAAAAATCCACCATATGACAAATTAAAAAAAAGTTAAATTAAAATATCTCTCTTACAATAAATAAATGGCAATAAAATAAAAGCTAAGAATTAAAAGCCAATTGACTTCAAAATTAGGAAATATGGATGGAGTCTTAAAAAAAACAAAAGAAAATAAGAAAATTCAAAAAATCAAAATCAAAATTCCTCATTTAAAATGATTGACTCTTCAATTTTGAAATATCTTTTGAAGTTATGATTGTGAAAATTTTAAGAAACAAAAATTAAAATAAAAAAAATCACAATTTGATGATAATTTGGTGCTTGAATAGGAAGTTTTATTAAAAGTCATAATTAAGGGAAATTAAAAATAAAAATTAAAGAAAAATCAGAAAACCCTAGATGGAGCCTATAAATAAGAGAGTAAGGGTTAAAGAAAGAGACTCAGAATTTTTCGGTGAAAAAAGAAGCAAGGTAGATATCTTTTCTATTATTTTGTTTCATGACAATGATTTATGTTGAGGAAAGAGAGAGGAGGCTTAGCTAGAGGAAAGTCCATTGTTCATTTTCTTCTTTCTTTTACCTAAGAAAAGCCTATGCTCTTGTAGTTATTGTCACATTTATGAGCTTGAATATTGATGGCTAGAGGGTTGAATCAAATGTGATTTGAGTTAATTCTCATTACTCCCCTTCTCTTTGATTCGTTTGAAATATGCCCTTATCTATTATCCCGTATATGTGCTCACTTTGATACTTACTTTCTTCTTTTTTTATTTTCATTTCATTTTATTTATTTTATTTTTGTCTATGCCATTTTGCTAACATGTGTATATAGTTTTTTATTATTGGCTTAGTATGTAATGTCTTCTCTTTTTTTCTTAGCCATTTGCTTAGTGGAGCATCAAGTATGAATTTTCATTCCTATCTATTGTGTTTAACTTGAATTTTATGATGAATTAATTTTTGGTGTTTTTCCTTTTTATTTTCAAAATTGCTTCTTTTTTTAAATCTGTACAGTGTGAGGTTCTTAGAACCTTCGCAGGTATCTAGATTTATTAGTAAATCGTGTGAGACTATGGGAGTTTCTGCAAGAATACCAATATGGTTATGCAAGCTTTATTTTTGAAATAAAATGAGAGAAAATAATTTTGGCCTCATGTTTATAAATAAATTATAAAATAAAAAGTCCTTTTTAAATATATTTACATGTTTTTCAGAACCGTGTGAGGTTTTTAGAACCTCGGTAGGCTCGAACGATTATTCTCCCATATGAGCTTATGGGAACCTTCGCAGGGAGGGTAATCTAAAATTTCTTTCAAACAATATTTTCCAAATAAAAATACAAAATTTGTTTTCATATATTAAAAAATAACCAACCCACAAAAAACCCCTTTTTTAGTTGAATAATATTTTCTAAAAAATACCAACCAAGTGACATGCATTTTTACCCCTAAACTATATGGATTTTGATCTCTCTAAAGAGTACGTGCCCTAGGTTTTGATTCTAAGTCAAGTCCACCTTTTTAAACAATTTATTTTTTCTTTTTGTAATTAAAAACTTTCCTTTGCTTCCATCTTTATTCTTTTAGGGTGGTTAAAACATGATAAAAAGGCCATATTAATTTTGAATACTTAACTTAGGTTTCATAGATCATATCTTTATTCTCTACACATAATCAACTCCCGAATCCTATCCAATTTTCATAGACCATATTTTTTTTAGGTTTCCAAAATTAACCTTTTAAAATTTTGGTGGCGACTCCTCTTTCTTTCCTTTTTACGAGATGACTAGGATTCGGACATGACACTTATATTAAAACCAAATGGAAAGTACTCCTCGAGGAATCTAAAACAACCAATAAAGCAAAAGATAGACTAGACACCAAATAAGAGAAACTTTCATTCATGCCATTATCATGTCACCCCTCATAATTATTTCATTCAATAACTCAATCATGCATAAACCAAGGCATATAATGTAAGGAGTTAGATATTTCATCACATAGCTAGCTCAACCACATCATGGCATAAAAACACATAGCAAACAACCAATACAAGTTAACATGAAAATTGTAAGTTCATGCTATCTTAATCCAAGTCTTGTCTTGGCCTTAGAACAATGTCTTTCAATCATACAACAAGGGCATTTTGAATCTCAACTCAAATAACGTCAATGCCTTAACCTAACATAAACCCTAACCCTTATTTTTGGTTTTAGGGGTTTTGTTACATCTTTCTTATCCTAATTCCCATATCCTTTTGGTAACATACTATTTAAAAAAAAAACCAAACAAATTGTAATTTAAATATATATAAAAATAATAATATTTTTTTTATTATTAGATTAAGTAAAAAAAAAAGCAGTGAGCTTTTCCACCGAATTTGGTGGAAAAGCTCAGCATTTATTAAGAAAGAAATTTAGGGATGAAGTATTCAATGAAAAAAGAAAAAGGAGGAAGAAACAGATGAAAGTGGAAAAGCTGGAGGTTAATAAATGAAGAGGGGAAAAAGGGAGAGGAGACGGTTGAAGTTAGAAGGATAAATAGGAGCAGGGGAGGCAATAGGCAGAGAAGAGAAAGAGAGAGTGACGCGCAGAAAGAGAGCGCAAGAAGGAGAGACAAAGAAGTGCTAGCAGTTTAAAGGATAGTACAAGCTTTAAAGACTATTTAGATACACAAAATACTTTTTTTTGTCAATTTTTTTTATGAATATCTCCTATATATTTAGAGCTTTATATTAGTTGTATTATTATAATGTTTAGAGAAAATTTTTGTAGTATGGAGTAAGTATTGAGTTTTGAAAATATATAACCGTAGAAATTTAAAGACACACTATTAAGAAATTTTAATCAATTTATATTTGTTTATTGATTGTTTTGAGAATTCTAAATTAAGATTTTAGTTGAAAAATTTATTATCCAAGACATATAAAATGTTTTTACCGATTAAACTTAAGTTAAATAACTTATTTGGGTTATTTAATATATTGTTGAGTTTTCATTGGTTCAAATATTGAATAGGTTAAAGATATATTGTTAAAATAATTTTTGAAGGCTTGAAAAATTGTAAATGAATTTTATAAAAATTAAAGTTTATTTATAATTCAAAAGAATTGTTTTGGTTGAGAAAAAATTTAAATAAGACTATAATAAATTGAGATGTTATAATGAATTGGCATGTTAATGTGAAATATTTTGATTTTAGGTAATAAAAATATATTTTAAGTTATTAAATTTAAATCTTGTTATACAAAATTTTTTACTGTCAAATAATATGTATTTATTACAAATAGTTAAATCTATGAGAGTTAATATGTTTATATAATTTTGGTTTAAACGGTAGTCTTAGAATGTTAAAGTAGTTTTAGAATAGTTTTGAGTTATATATTAATAAATATTTATGTGCAATTTTGTAGACTCTTAAGAATTTTGAGTATTTTGATTACTTGTAAGCTAAAAAGTAGTTGGTAGCTCTGAAAATTCTTTTATATACATGTGAATTGTGTATGATTATATTGTGGATTTACTAGTTTTTATTATATCATATTGAAATATATGTATATATCATGAGTTTTCAAATAAATGTTTTAATCTATTACTTTATTTTGTTAAGATTTATTGTTATTAATTATGATTGATGTTTAAATATATTGATAGTTATTGAATTATAATGCATTGTTGTTAAATTGTACAGAAATTTTATTGCTCTCTTATTTTAATAATATACTTGCGGATGTATTTCTGATGTAACATTATTTGCATATGACATATACATCGTTGGCTAAGGATAGAAGGAGATATGTATGGATATAAATTATCACGCAGTATGCCATCACTCGGTGCATAGTTGATGGCACTTGTCAAGACCCCTTCTTCCATGTTTTTCTTTAGTTGGGAATTCGTTAGAGCTGTGAGACATGTAACTGTTAATGGTAGTTTGACCTAAGAGGGGGGTGAATTTGGTGATAAATAAAAATTTGACTTTATAAAATAAACAATTGAATAATGCAAAGGAAGCAAGTTTAGAAGGATTTCACCGAAGATGAACAGAAGTAGAACACGCAGGGATTTATACTGGTT